CTCAAATCTTCTCAAGCTGTTTCACTAAGTAGGCTGGGCTGGACATAGTGTTGTAAACATGCAATCCTTTTTTTTTCTGATCTGAACTTGCAAGCTTTTTCACATGCCGCACTGCAGTTTAGAAACGCAGTTGGCATCCCCAAAGTAAGCATAATGGCCATAGGCTTTAGGATCGGAACACGGCATCAGCATGCTTTTACATGCCACCGCAGTCGCACGCCAAATGGTTACCCATGGCAAAATCATTCAGAAAACACACCTGCATGTTGTATTTGCAACTCTTCATACCATGCATCATATTAAATATATGAAAATGACAAATATTTATATGGCCCCGGGCATACCAAATGTCTAATGTGCGAACCCCCCAAAAATCCAGCCCAGGATCGGACATAGCTAAGAAACGCTCAAAGCCTGACTGCTGTGATGTGACCGAAGCACATTTTTTTTGGCACACCTTGCAAAGCTGATGATTTGAATTATTTCTTCATCACAGCAACGTGAGTAAGTCTCAGGTTTCTGACTCTTCTGCATTTGCAGACTCCTCAGTCTGATCACCAGCATCACCACCATCAGCCTTCGACTGCGGGGTTGCCACTTTGCGAGAAGCACGTGGCTTATCAGCAAACTTACCCACAAGGTCCTGGGGCACAACGCCATGGGTTTGAAAAATTGCGCTGGCAAACTGTGCCTGTTTTTTGGCACCTTCAATATTCTCCTTACCATTCAAAGCCTGGAATTTACGGTAAGAATTGCTGTACACCGTGCCACAAGTGACGTGTGCCGGAGGCGTAATAACATTCACCAAATTTTCCAAGGGCGGAACATCAACTTCTGGCTTCTTCCCACCCTTAGCCTTCCCTTCAGCATTGGGAGCAACAGCCGGAGTTTTACCCCTTCTGCGCTTGGGTGGAGGGGCATCTAAATGGGCACCATCAGCATCTTCAGCCAGTGGCTCTTCAGTGCCAGGTTGACGTTTCTTTCGACCCTTGGTTTTTCCAATGACTTCTCCTTGTTTCGAAAAATTAGCAACTTGTGGTCTCTCAAGCAGCTTCTTCATTGCGTCACCGAACGGAGTAGCATTGGAGCCATACTTATATCCCTGAGATAAATTTAAAGTGGATCGTTCAAACACACCAAAATCTTGCATGTCATGCAGGTGTTAGTAAGATATGCCCATTGCAATTTGCAATATCTGAGTTTCACCTGTACTGCGGACAAGTTGCAGCATCACGCGGTGCAGGCAAGTCCTTCTTCGTCTTGTCCTTGTCCAATGCCGAAGGACTCGAAGCTGCGGCTACCTGAGGGCAGGATGGGGATATGAGGCTAAAGAATAGGGAACCATGGGAACCAAGGGGAATCCAAAACTATCCAAAACTATCACCTGATCAAGCATGTACCTTTGAGATGGATAATAATGATTAGAGATGTGCAATGCATTAATTCAATCTAGAAACACGGTCTGGGATTGAGCACGGAGTTGTCACGGTGGGGTCCTGCACAATAGCTCGCAAAATGATAGAATTCATAGAATTAAACCCGGTAACCATGCACAACACTGCACAACTTTTCATATAATGTAAACAGAAATAAACCATATATGCAGAAACCATCAAATGAAAATAAATGAAACTGGCTGCAGAAATTGTAGCCATCATGTGTTGATACTGCCACTTGTTTTTTAAAAATCAGCACGAACCCCGGGAATCATGTACATAAGTGCAATGTATTATTTGTTTGTGTCCTTCGTGGTTGCATGAGATGTCACATCTTCCTCGGGCTCGGTGGGGGTGATGACCTCCTCATCCTCCACAGCACCACCAGGACAAGTGGCTGGCACTTCAACGATTTCAGGTTCAGCCTCAGGCCACAGCATGGGTGAGATGGGAATGGATTAGATACAATGTGTTGTCATGCCTAGCTGAAAAAATGAAAGCACATCTGTGACCCTGATCATTCCAAATCATCATGTACGTTTCTAACCAAAAGACGTGGTCTTCCACGACAGTACCATTCTTGTTCAAACGCTCCATGATCTCGTCCGCAAGCACAACACCACGCACGAACAGACTGCGGAGATTCTGCGCGTGCTGTTTGCCTATAGTGAGTGCATGCAAGGCACAGAGATTTTGAAAAGATTAAAATAGCTGGTCATGACACGTTTTCAGAATTCTCAACACGAAAAAAAATGTAGGCCCCCTGACACTCATGCACCATGGCATCATTCGTCGCATCCACATGGAGACACTGGTAAAGCATGGTCATGGCATCATGAGGTGTGAACTCGTCATCGAAGGCCACTGGCAAAGGTGCATCCAGGGCCAGGGGGGCCGGTGCTGGTTCTGCCAGGGGGGCCAGTGCTGGTTCTGCTGGAACTTCAGCCACCTTGTCATTTGAGCTCCCTCCTGACTCCTCCATGAGGGACATGTGTGTAGTGAACAGGCTTGGGGAACCTGGGTAATTCATCATATATAATTGTACACTCATTGGACTCATTGATATGTAAGGATTATATAATAGACCTTCTAATTGAGCAACATATAATCAGTCCTGAGCTTCATCGTCGGAGATCATGAGAAGATCAGGTGCTGCAACTGCTTCGGGCTCCTGCAATGCAATTCAGGCTGGCCAACTCTGGTGAGATGTTTTCCCATAAGTGGGTAAAAGAATAAACGAATCATAAGAAAGGACTTATTGCATGCGACAAAAAAATGTGATGGGATCCTCCAGTCGCCATTGGGATTCAATGATCTCCTCCGGGCCTTTGTCCATAGCCACAGCCTACCCAAATCATGGATATCATGGGAATCTTGACATGTGTGTTGCGTTGTCCAATCTTATAATCTCATTTGTTGAATGAATTGGTTTTGACCAGGTGTGCATGATGCAACCATCCCCCATCCACCTCTGTCTGCAACGAGGTTGGCCCAGCGCTGGAAGTACTCTGCGAAGAACTGCCTCAATGCAGCGGATTGCAATAGTGGACCAAAAGAAAAGGGTGTGTGAAATGAGATGCTGTGTTGGTCGTTACGACCCCACCCCCTATGGTGCCTCTAGAAAGAGTAGCATAGCAGCCATCACCATGTCCGACATCAGCCACTGAAGATTGTTTATCCTTTTTCTTTGGACGGGCTTTTGAAGGATTTTCGCGCATGATATTGCGAAGGGTCTTGGCAACCTAAGTCGCAAAATTACCCAATTATATGAAATGATTGTTTTTGATCGCACGCCAAGTTTTGACATTAAACAGGCAAGTGCATATGAGCAAAAAGTTCTAAAGTTTGAGCACCAGAAACCGGTGTTTGCGTATTCCTCTCCACTGCCTTTCGCCAATATCGTCTTGAAAAAGACATAAGGCCAAACAAAGCATCCGCTTCCTTACAATCAGACAGACTAACAAAGATATGATGGCTCCAAGGTATGTCCCCATGACATCCCAAACCCTCCCTAAAATAATTTCAGAGCAAAGGGCGTTCATGAAGAGGGTAAATGACCTGTGAACTCATTCCATGTTACGCAGCTTTGCGCGCAAACTGAAATTACAGACAAAAAACATCTCCTGCCCATTTCTTCCTTTCGCGCCGCGTCTTCCCTTTCGAAAGGGCATTCTCTGACTCTTCATCTAGCTGAAGAAAGGCTAGCTGGAACGTTCCCCACAAATATTCACCTAAGTTCATCATGTGGACACATGAGGTCCCCAACACAACTCTGGTGTGGAAAAAACATAGTGCACACAACAATGTTTTTGGACGTCGCCAACATACAACGCAATTTTTCCTTCAGCTGAGCAACACTGGGGCTTGTTTTCTGCCAAGTGCGTGATGAGTTTGAGGTAGATTGTCATGTCATGGTACGCAATCGCCTTTATGTTGGCTATCTTTGAGAAGAGTGTGTTCAGGGGCGGTTTCTTGTTGGCGCAGCAAATGAAAGCATCAGCCGGCAAACATGCTTTGATGGCACCTTAGGACCCCCACTGACACTGGGCCATATTCCAGTAATATGCACATTCATTGCATGATAGGTGCACAACTCACACACCCACATCATCCATGCACATGCGTCAGTTTCATGACCATACAATACACACCCTTACACTGAGGATGAGCCAAGGTGCTCGCAACACGGTCAGCTTCCTCTGCCGAACTCATGGGTCAAGCAGGTGGCTGCAAAGCAACACTGAGAACACTCCCAGCCAAATCAAGCTGCGCAAAACACATGCACCTATGTACAAAACATCAGAATTCTCGGTTGGCAAAAATTTGAATAGACCTGAGCAAGGCAGTGTGGGGGGGATACGGCCTTCCAGCCGCTGTCTCCGCTTCATTGCCGCACATTCCCGGCATGTGATTTGATGTTGCCAATCTTCAACATATCATAACGTACTAAACAAAGTCAAACAATATTTTCACATGAAAAAACATGTGACACCATATGACGCCATGAATCACCGGATATATACACATATGTTGTCTGTGTTGAGCATTAGCTGCATTGGGACTTTTTGCTTTGAGCCCCTTGGCAGCCTTCACTCTATCACGACCCCTGCCGACCCCTTCTGGCATACTCAACATCACATAGCAAACCCCCTCACAGGTCATGTACCCTCTTCATGAAGGCCCTTAGCTCTGACCCCTCCTAGGGAGGGTCGGGGACGTCGTGGGGACATACCTTGGAGCCTTAGGGATATACAATTCTACGTGATCCATTGTGCTACGAGTAAGATAAAGAGTCTGTCTTTGAAGCATTTGAAGCATATCGGCATGTCTGTACCACTATTCTTGTTGGTAGCAAGATTGCGGTCATCCACATATACGAACACTATGATACAGATTCCCTCAGAACCCCACTAAGGATCTCACAACCACCTTCAATAGCTGTTCTTGAAACACACTAAACCCAACAAGTTCCAAAGCAAATCAGGAATGTGGCTATGACATGCCATGGTCCACCATTTCTCACAAGTTCCAAAAGCTGCATCCCTTGGGCTTATTCCGAGTGGCGCAGGCAGCGACCGCGATCTTCAGACTCAAAGTCGTTGGCTGCACGGTGGCCTTCGGCATGGCAGAAAAGAATCCCAGAGCCTTGTGCCACAACGAAGCTTTCTCGCAGGAACCTGGGTGAGAACGCGGAGCAACTGGTGGAACTGGTTGATGGGATCAAGGGAAAAACTGAAATCTGTTTTTGTGGAGTCCTGTAAATTAAATCTGAGATCTGTTGCAAGTAATGTCATTACCGTGACTATGACTATGCCAAGTGGATCCAAGTGGAATATCTTGGGAACCTTTCTTCCCAGTTGCATGGCAGTAGAGATTCTGACGGCATGTTGAACTGGACTGCCCAGCAGAGAACCAAACGCTGAAACTCTACAATCTCTACAGCAGAGTCGCTGGAATACCTCATGTTCATGCTTAAACCATCTTAAACCCCCAGTATCTTCGGTTGGTAAACCTGGTAAACCCCCTTTTTTTCATCACAGTGATGGCTGGTAAAACCATTCCCATGGCGTCTGTTTTCATGGTGTACCCCAAATCTGGATGTTTCAACTGCCATGAGCTGCCACCAAGCCACTCATTGTAGCACAAAAGCTCACGATGTCGGGTTGGATAGCCACCAAGGGCATCAGGTGAAACAAGTCCAGGACCTGGTCAGACCGGACTCGATGCTTGGGCCATCAGATGCTGTGGTCATTCAATGGAAATCGGGGCAAAACATGTGTAGCATCAACACCTTTGCCACCCAAAAAACTTGCGATGAACATCTTTTCGGTCCGTACTGTAAGTTTGATTATTTGGGAACTAGGTATAACGGTATAACATGTATTGAAATATACTCTATAGAAGGAAATATACCCTCTGGTAATTTAACATAGTTATTGAAAATCACCATTTTTAATGGGAAAATCCACTATTTCACAGGCCATTTTCAATAGCAAACTGTTGACATAACCAGAGGGTAAGTACTTTACATCATACTCAGCTGGCTCGGATGCCTGCGACCATTGTTGCAGCTTCTCGCATGCACTCAAGGATGCGTTGAAGCTGACAATGTCCGGCAAGACCTGTCCCATTGTCACAACGAACTTTGAGGGCAATGGGAGAAAAAAAGACTGTTAGTAAACTACAAATAGAACTCAGATTGGTTTTATAACTTGTTTATAAGGGGAGATCAAAAACAGCTGATCATGGTCACTTCCAAGTGACAAGTTGAAAGCTGCTTGGCACCCCGATCACCCTGCCGACAAGAGTCTGATTATGCCGATTTTAATGGCCAAAAGTCTATTCTCATGAGCGCATTTCTTCAAGAAACAGATCTAATAGCTATTTCATTCTACTTCTTCACCAATGACATATCTAACATCTGGTTCTTTAACATAGCCATGGAAATTCCCTTATAAATGGAGGTGTTAAGGGGAAAAACATCTATAAATGCGCTATTTTCCATGGCTATGTTAAATAACCAGAGGGTATGTCATTCTACTTCATCACATTTCATGATGCCTTTAGCTGCTCCACTGTCTGTCACACCGCTGTCACACCTTGGCTCTTGGCATTTCTGCAAGCAAGAACTCCAGTGCCTCCGCCCAACTCCCGGCTTTCCTGGGCGACACTAATTGGATGCAGCATCACTGGGCGACGTGGAACCACGTCCAGCAGATGTTGTCCTTGAAATGATGAAGCCGTGCGATTTGGGTTCTTGTAATGAGGTCCTGTCAGCGAAGCAAATCATACTCCCTCAAACATCAGTGGCTGTGCAAATGTCCTTCTCAATTCTCAACGTTTCTGTAGACTGTAGCCTTCAGCTTCCAAATCCGTGGTGAATCACAAACCAAGATTCTCACATGCGCTGATGGTTGTGTTGAAACAAATCAGGTTCGGTCGCAACTTGGAGTCACAGAGAGCTCGAAAGCATTGGAACGCCAGCTGCCACTCCGAAGCTTTCTCGAAAGAACTGATGGCTGCACTGTAGCTAATCACATCTGGTTGCACGGAGACCTGGGCAAACTATGGCAAACTATGACTTTGAAGCACTTGCTGGACTTATTTCGGTCACATGTCCCTGAAAAGATTGCATGAAAGTTGGGTACTGAAGAACAACATAGGTCCTGTGGACTTGTCAGATTCCATTCAAACCTCTCAGTAGTGATTGGCCAATGCAATTCTTGATGACACAGCTGTCGACAGAGCAGGCTTCTCATCCTACTGTCATCAGTCCATCAACGTTGCTCCTATTTTTTGTGCCTTGTACCGCTTATCAAAACAATCAATCGCCAAATGCCCTTTATGTGTACTATGACATTGCCATCATCAAATAAGAAAGATTGATATGTGACTGTGTGACAATATCTGGGTCAAAGGACTCTTGGTGATCACCAAATCATCAATCCTTCATTTCACATGAAAGGCTCCGTATCAACCCTTGTTCCTTACAGCAATCCTTGTTCGTGAAATTTCAAGATTCAATGCTTACATACATTTACTCAATATTGTTGAATCCTATGTTGATGATTAAATTTAAACGGCTTAAAACAGCCAAACCCTATATATATATATATTTTAATGAGTTCATCCTGGATTTTTCTTGACCCACCGTTGCCCTTCATACCATGCCCCTGTGTCGACTAACGGCCTGCGACATCATCCGGAAGAGCTGCAAGGCTTCACTCCAGCGCTGACCCTTCTCGCAACAACTCATTGCCTGGCTGAGTCTTGGAGCACTGCTGGATCCGGTCTGACTGTTTAGAATTATGTGTTTCATGTAACATGTATATAGCCTGCATAGCATCTATGAAGCAACATGTTTAAAGAAACAGTTTGAACCACTACAACGAAGATCATCTTTTTGAGCGAAAAAAAACACATCCATAACATTTGCAGTCAAGGTATATATGTTTTTTCTTGAGAGATCACAGTCAATCAACCTCATTTGGCTGACTAGAAGGAACAAGAAACTGGGGAGTTTCGGTTTCAGTGCTTCGAATATGGGATATGCCCACATCATTGTCACTTTGAGGAGCGGGAAAGATGTAGTTTTTGGGGCTCCCAAAAGCACTCGAACTGAAATGGTTCAAACCCCAGCCCCGAGATGTTTGTAGAAGGAAATCCGCCCTTCAGTTTGGCCACTCCATGTCATTTCACTCAGGCAACTGTGGTGTCCACCAAAATCAACTTGCTGAGGACGGTTGATCACATGTTCTTTGTCAAAATGGCCATTTTAGGCTACCCACCATTCCTAAACACACCCAAAGCAATTTCGGAAACGCAACACTCTAATTTTTCAGCAGCTCATCTCTAAACAGGTTCGAGTTTCGGCATTGAAGCTGATGATGTCCGGCTGGTCGGTTGCAGGTATGGCATGAAACAGGAGCAAACCCTGCTGCCAGCGTTCCCCTTTCCTCAGCACAGGGCATTCCGAAACTGCGGCTGTGGTATCAACTTTCCAACCATATGAAACATCACAACCATCTCGTCCCTGGATTTACTGATGCTGTTTTTGTTATGTACACATCAGGTGCGCACAAAAAAGATGCCCCGGAGATGGTTCATAGATGGCGCCAAGGCCTGAAGTCTCACCCAAAGCCTGAAGCCACCTCCCAAACATTCACAAAAAAAACGTGCCAAGGACTGATGGTTCTTTCACCATGTTCATATGCTATATATTTCTATATCATATATATTCATATATCATGCAGGTTGCATATCATTGGTAATTACAACACCTCCACATCTCCACCCTTTGCCATCCCTTGGTCATACTCCAGCCTACCAGTGCATGGTAGACCCGAGATACCGTTTGAACCTACCCTCATGTTTTTTTGCTAGTCCTTCATGGGATATCTTCAATTCCCCAATCAAAATGGCCCTAAAATCCCAAAGTGCTTTTGATAAGATCGTCCAAGTCATGACCAAATCATATCAAAACCACTTATGAGAAATGTAATGACTGTTGGTTGTTCATATCATACCAAAATGACTTATGGTTATTCATATGAAACCCAATGCATCAATAACCTGGATGTAATTCAAGGCACCCAAATCATGGGCTTATCAGCCCTTCCCCACATGAGTCACTAAAAATATGCAGCCCTATCCAATCCCATCTCTGCTGGTGGATTGGTAGTTATCACTATGCAACGGGTTACACTAATCCCAGTTGATCAGGTAGGCAAAGGAAAACACATTCTTTCAAAAAAAGAACACCAACATTAAAGCTGTTTCTTTGATCAATCAACCAACATGTATCACTTGTACCATATGTTTATTTTTCATAAGAAAGGAACCGTGCGTAATTACTTCCAATCAACCAACATTTACATCAGTTTCCAATACGTTTGATATGATATCCCCATATAAGAAATTGTCGCTTCAAACGCGTTTCAAACACACTTCAAACGTTGGTGTTCACTCCCCATTTCGCTCCACACCGTTGCAGCCCTCGCGTCTCAAAGGAACTGATCATGGCGTTGAAGGACACCAGCGTTGGCTGCAGTCCCCGCCTCTGCATGGACTGGAAGAGCTGCATTGCCTGGACATAGGACGTCTGTGAAAAGAAGCACTGATTTAAGTATAGAACATAATAACATACAATATAAAAACAATATGTAATAGAATGACATATAATACAATATAATACTCCATAATGTGAATATATATAATATACTATAATCTAAACAAATACAACATAATATAGTACTATATAATATGTATATAATGTAAATAATATAGTATACAGTAAATTACAATACAATATAATATGATAAAATTCATACAATAAAATGAATATGACAACACACAAAACATGTAGCATAAGCTAATATGTAAGAAACCAGTACTGCCAGCACTATAATGTATTGCAAATAATAATGTATACGATATATGATTCTTCAAATCCGGGATATGAAATGATATGAACATTTGTTTTTTTTAAAAAAAAACTCATATTTGTAGGATGAAATTTCAGGATGTTTGATTCAATGGGTTGGTTTAAGGGAAATTTGAAACCGGAAACCATGTTTTTTTTCCCACCAAATATGGGTTTAGTTTTTCCTGTAGATTTTCCCTTAAACCAATCCAATGTTTGATGTGTTCATCACCAACGGTTGCCAATCTCCATTCTCGTCCACTTGGCGACCAAAATTCATGGGACTGTGGCCGCGTGGCCGCGGCCTGCTGCCATTGGCCGCCCTTCTCGAGGGAACTGATGGTGGCATTGAAACCTGAAGCGCAAAGTCATATGTACCTGATAGTAATCTATAGTAGACCATTTACTAGAGATGTCCTTAGGTGATATTTACTATAGTATAACACTTACTAGTTACACTAGTATACCATTTACATCCATTTACCATTCCTATCATACGTACCTGATAGTGATGTCCTTTTACTAGAGAGCCGCTTAGTATACCATTTATCATCATTTACGCACTAGTTCTGCAATTTGGGGTTACGCCCCTACCTCTATGTCTGAGTTTTGGTCCGTAGGTTCCAAAATCAAAACGGCACTGGTATGGTATCCTAGACCACTCGCTGGCATAGCGATCGATCGCCAATTGGATTGGTTGGTTCATCTGGCTTGGCTTGGCCTTCCAAGATTGGGCCATCAACATCATCAACTGGGGTTGAGCCAATCAATAGATTGTTTGGCCCCGGCAGTCGATTTGATTGATGGTCCCACACCGCTTGGAGAATATCGGCAAAAAAACAGCCCTACAGTTACAGTAAACGCGGCCATGGAAAATGGCCATGTTGAACAGGCAAATTATCCAACTAAATGGGCCATGTTCATCCATGTTCCACAGCTACGTTCTCCATGACCAGAGGGTAATCGGCATGATCGACATTAAGGATCCAGGAGCAGCTGGTCATACTTCGTAAAATCATCTTGGGAGCACCGTAATTATCTGTGAGGTTCCATGCTAAACTATGATTATTAAATTCAGAATTTATCTACCTATATCTAACTATTGACTATGGTTATCATATCCCATGAAAAAACTATGGTTAGGATGTCCCCTTCACGATCCAACCAAGCAGCTGACCACACTGTGCTGCACCTCGCGGTCAGCGCTGGCGAAGAGATCAACAGCTCGTTGCCAGTGGCTGCTGCGGCCGCAGGCTGTGATGGCAGAGATGAAACCTGGGCAACGGCTGGGTCAGGACCCAATAGAATCCCTGGAGCCACATCTGAAATGCTGGTTTTATATGGTTTCATCATCGATTTCATGAGCATTTAACTAGGGAAAATGAGGATATACTGAGTATGATATACTGGGATATAAGAGGATTCGTCAGCAATTTGAGGCCTGGCCTCAGTCGTACTTGAAACATCTAATAGTGAGTTAAAACACATCTCAACACGCATCATGTACTATATACTACCGGAATAGTTTTGGCTTAAATAGGCATCATGGTATCTTTCAACTTATGAAAGGGGCCTAAATTTGCTGCCGATCTCTCTTTCGGTATCCTTTGAAGTTCGCAAAATGCCATGTGCAATGTGGGGTCTGCACATAGGGTACCCCAAAATCCCAGGGTTCAGGGGTTCAGCATCATTTTTTTCCTGAAATCATTAAAAAATGGTGTCTTAAAATGGGAGGACCCAAGTCAAACCATGGGTTTCAATACGAAAAAAATGGTCGAAATTTCGGATGATTTGGGGTACACCTAGGACCCATTTGCGCCGTATACGAACCCCATGTTCCGCCCAGGAACTGAGAAGGTTTGGCTGAAGCACTGCTTGTCCTGCCATGCGATTCAGATTCCCAGAATAGGTTTCATGGTATTTCATGTGTATTTCTCTGCAAAATGGTGCCCATAGTTACTATAGTTTGCTAAGTTGGTGAAAATAAATGTATAAATACCTGGTACTGTAAAAGGACGTACGGTTAATGAATGTTTAGATATATCATGAATTATCATGATATATCCTGGGGCATTAAACCAATTTAGCAACCTTGGGCCCCACATTTTGTGGGATCTGCCTGGAATCAGCCCAACTTCGGCCCAGTGGCCCATTCGCTGCAAGAACTTCAAGACCTGCTGCCATTGCTCAGCTTCTTGACATGCATTCATCACCTCGGCACAGGGTCCTTCACACTGGTTTGGAAAAACTCCAAGACTGGCTAGTTCAAATGGACCGCCACGCAAATATATCACATCCTCCAAACGCCCTTTGTGAGACACAGTCTGCCATACTTCCGGGAAATCCACAGTAATATTCATGGTTAGCACGGATCCGTATCAACACCAAATGTTTGTTGCTCTTCCCTATAGTTTTCTAATGTTTGCATATGATGAGACTTAAAACCCATCTAAATCCCAAATTTTCGATGGTTATTCCACACGTTCAACCTCAAAAATGGTTATATGAACCTTCATTGTCATTATATATTACACATAATATATCTATATATATTCTAATAAATATATATATATATTATATATATGTATATATATATATATTTTTTTTTTCATGATAGTTCCACTAAATCGGATGATCTGTCCATCTGTCCATCCCAGGTCCAGGCCACCGCGTTGGCGCACACCACGTCCCTCCGGACGCTCCGCAGGGCCATCAAGTCGTACAACAGCAGCGCAAACCGCCAGTGCCGGCCACGCTGGGAGCAGCTGATGGCGACCTGCGCTGGGATTTTCCGTCGAATTCATGGAATTCAAAAGGGATTTATATGGAATCTATACGGGAACAACTAACTAACTAACTAGCTAGCTAGCTAGCTAGCTAACTAACTAACTAAATGACTAACTAGTAACTAAGTAAATAAATTATAATATATATATATATATATATTATATATGATATGATATATGTATTATTATAGGGTTACATATATGTATATATATATATATATGTATAGGGATATATAGGGGTTAAGACCAGCAGAAATAGTCAAAAAATGGAATGCAACGGGGAAAGCAGGGAGTCACATCAAAGACGCAGGAATTCAACTAATTACAGTACGAATGGCCTTTAAAGATTGTAGGAGTGTGGGATGTTTTCAGTATTTGTATGGCAGATTTCAACCACCAAGAACCAATTTAGTATTAATGAACCATAATGAACCACATATTTAAATGCTATCACACCTTATTAACAATCTTTTGAGAGGATTCATTTGTCCAAAGACTTGTGGTAGCATTAAAAATCACAAGAAATACAACTTGCCTAGTCCTGGTGGCATTGGTCAATTCATTCATGAAAAACACAACTGGGGGGATGCCTGCTTAATGGTTCGTTGGAGGGACATGTTGCAAGAAACCATCAGGAAAACATCCAGGAAACTACCAATTCTTACTATCAAAATGATATAGAAAGTTACGTAAGCATGGAACTTCCTGGAACTAATTCTGAGAGACACACCTTGACGCAGCAACAAATCACAACCATGCGTTTTCAAAAAACAGGAAACAACTCCTTGAATGGGTTCAATACAGGTTTCAAGATGCACAGAGTTAGGAAACAATGAGAGACAACAAGCGGCCTGGAGGTCTGGCTAAGCCTTTCATTTTTTCATCTTCGGATGGTGATCTTTCCAGATGGTCTTGGATTTCAACTTCCCTTTGTCTTGTTGTGTAAGCTGAAGGGAACAAATCGGCAATCCTTGAGGTCCTTAGAGCAAAACACGGTAGATTATCATCAACATAGGATAGATGAGCCGTTTACTTTTACCATCAACCTGGGCAAATTACTATATTAAAATTGAATAAACCATTTTTGTTGGGAGAAGTATCCCTACTAACCAGGATTTATATATTTATAGTGACCCTTTTGAGAGGTTTCAAGCAGTATCACTTCCACAAATATTCAGTTACGTCCCCATGATGCCATTTAATATCCCCATAACTGCATGTAATTGCTGGTTTCTCTCCCCAACATTTTTTTGGTCGAAAATCACCGTGTTTCATGTTCAAATCACTCCCTATTTGCCGGTGAAATCACCATGTTCAACGCCCAAATTGCTACTTAACTCTCAACTTTAGCTGGATCAATCTGTGATACATCCATATGTTTCCGGAATCCACCATTTTCCGCAGGAAATCCACCATTTTTGACCATTTTTCCACGCAACGCCATGACGCAAGGCCGTCCCGGATATATAGGTCCCAGGGACGCTGTAGCTGACCACATCCGCTGCGGACCGCATCGTCAGCTGGGCGAAGAGGTTGAGGCCCCGCTGCCATTGGCTGCCCAGCTGCAAGGCACTCATGGTGGAGTTGAAACTGATGACCTGAAACGCTTTCGATGGATGATCTCGTCGTTTAAGTACTGTGATATATATATATATAATAAATCACATAGATAGATAGATAGATAGATAGATAGATCGATAGATAGATCGATAGATAGATAGATAAATAGATAGATAGATAGATAGATAGATAGATAGATAGCAGTAGGTAGAATATAGATAGGTAGATAGGTAGATAGATAGATAGGTAGATAGATAGACAGATAGATAGATCGATCGATTTATCGATCGATAGATAGATACATAGATAGATCGATCGATCGATAGATAGATAGATGGATAGATATATCATACATGTATATAGAACATTGGAACATGATGTACATTGATGTACTATGTATATATGGACAATGATAGACTATGTATATATATATATATACACCCATATATAATGTATCATATGTATCATCATGTTATGATGCTGAAGCCACAGACTGGTACAAGTGAGCCAAAAATGGGGTTCTACCTATGGTTGCTGGTCAATTCCTCATGCAGCAACCATGACTGGTGCTTGTCAGGGAAGTTCCCCTTGGGAGTTCTTGGGATCTATGAAGAATTCCTTCCGTGATTCCGTGATGTCTGTGTTTGAGACGCACATCCGCCAAAAATGGGTGTTGGTGAATACATATTCTAGGCAAATGTTGAGAATTGCCCACAGCCCCAGTCATCAACCATCGATCTAAGATGATCTAATACAACCATCAACGGTGTCAGCTATGGATTTCTCATGCCCTGACTATTCTGACATTTTGAGGGTGAAGTCCCATTTGCTTGTTGATCAAATCCATATCATTCCAATGAACTTCTGCAAGAGGTTCCCCACTTTTTTCTTCAACAGATTCAACCCTCCATCTCTGCTGGTGAAAAACTCCACAAAATCACCTGCCAACTTTTTATGCGCATACCAGTGAGGAAGTAGTCTGAAACCAATGCATACATACACACATATATATATATATCTATTATACAACTGCGATATCGCATATTGTTCCTTTTGCCACGGATTTCACCCCCCTGGCGACAAGTTAAAGACCTCCCAAAAAAAGCGCGGTTTGGAAAGGGATTTTAATGATTTACACATATTTGGGACCATGAAATCCATGGAATGGGGATGTTGAATAGAGGGGTGGGATTATTCCTGGGATGCATCTCCATCACCTCCCAGTTCCGATGGCTTAACACAATTACCAGAGCGTATACTTTTTGTTGGTAAATCCCTAGGAATCACCATTGCCATTAGATTTCATTGAACATCTATTTATCCCATAAATATTCAATCTCGTGACTATCCCAAGAAAATCGCATGAAATCACCATATCCCATTAATCCATCTACAGTTAAATCGTTCAATCCCATTAAAACATAAATTCCATACAAATCATTAATCCTATAATCACCATGAATCTGAATACTCCATAAATCCCATTAAACCTCCATTTATCATTTATTCCATGAATATCGAACGAAAATCCCATTAAATCACCACAATTCGCCCATTGCCACGCCACATCCTGCTGCACTTCTGCCACTGCCATGGCCGTGAAAAGCTCAAGCGCTCGCTCCCAAGGCGTCGATCCATCGCCGGCAAAGGCGCTGATGGTCGAGTTAAAGCCTGGTGGCCGTGGAAACCCATAGTGAAACTAGTGAAACCATGGTTGTTTCAATACTCAAATGGTTTTCTTACTCGTTCATGACTTGGGGGTACCTGAATCTTAGGAAAATCATCATTCACCCACGAGTAAAGTAGCATAACTATGAAAAAGAACATGTTGAAGTTCCGCAAATCATCGAACTAAATTGCCGTTTTCAAAAGCCATGTCAAATTGCAGGAAGGGAAGTCACAAAAAATAAGAATTAACTAGAAAAGAAGGGGAAGAGTATGAAGAACATGTCGATTAACAATCGAACGAAAGGGTCATAACAATTCCAATTCTGGGCCATCATGTTGTAAGAATCTAATGACCATAGTCAAGAAAGATATAGGCCTGGGAACGCCTGGGTGCAGGGCCTATCTAAGAATCATTGCCCACAACATGAGAATTAGATAGGAAGAATGGACACATCATGGGAGAATTGAGGATTGACAATTGAACAACTGGGATTTAGCTGGGTAATAATCAGAGATAATAGGTGATAATAGAATATAATGTGATGCAATGGCAATATAGGAAGGATGTGGGGCTGAGGCAAAATTACACTGTTCTGACCCTCTGAAATGGTTGTCTACCATCAAACGTGGTTCATTTTGAACCGGCAGCATTGGGTTTTTCGTCATTGAAGGGTTTGACCAGAAATGTTGAGAACGATGCGTGAAAAAAAACTATTTCAGTAATGATAACGATGATATTCATTGGAATTGGAGGTACAGTATCCTATGTTCAAGTAAAACCATGTGCGAGACCCACCCTTCTCCCTATCCATGTCTCCAAATGGACATTTGAGATGGCCAACATATGAAGGGTTGGTATTTGATGACCCAAGAAGAACTGCTAGGATGGGATGTCGGCTAAAGTGATGGATGGAGAGTGACTGTTGTATATTCCGAATATAATCCCACTAAAGGAATATCAAACCTGGATTAATAAGGCTATATGTTTCCTCCAAGCATTGTAAATATAATATATCATCAAGTTTCCAACACTTTAGCATTACTTAGTATATTTCATTAATTTATATAATTCAAGTATCAGTAATAACATCCCTGGATTGATAAACAGTGTTGCAAAAATGATTCCCAATTAACAGCTCAGGGAGGGTTGCCATTGCCGGAGCTGGGACACATCCATTCGGTCTAAATCTCCAACATCTGGACATTGGATGTAGTGGAAATATGGTGAAAGTAGTGGGAGAACATTCCCTTACAATAATTTAGTACCCATAGGATCCATGGTGCTGGTATATATGCTAACATTGGGGGTATATTGAAGGTAAATGTTACCATATATAGCATACATGGATCCTATGGGGTAAACTATAAATTCACGAATTCGTGGTTTCTGGGTGTACAAGATTAGGGAGAAGGGATTCCAACTCCAAACCACCACTGGCGGTGGGGTGATGCTAAACATATACAGTCGGCATTGTAGATACTGTACATCAAATGCCTACAACATCCGACAACACTCTTAGGTCCGAAATTGGGACACTCACCAAGCCAAGAACGCTGCCCAGAAACTAAACTCATCTGGCCGAAGCTGAGCTGTAGCTATAGTGTCAAACAAGAGCAATGCTTGCCTGATCGGCACTGATCTTCAGGCACTGTCGATACTCAATGAACCTACCACCCCGGTGCAAGCCATATATAGGGGTATTATAACTATTCTCTCGATTTCCAACCCCAAGCAAAAACCGTACATTTGGATCTCCACTGGTGTATTCCTCGCTGCAGCTATTACTATCACTATGAACTAATTACATATTCGCTCACCTAGAATACGTATAGCTAGTCAGCCACGTTTGCCACAGCTGAGCAAGTATCTAAGCAAAGCCGACAACCTCATTTCCAAAAAAAAAATGTGGCTGAAACAAACGGAACCAGCTGCTGCCACTCATTGCCCTTGTCGCACGCTGCAATGGCCGCATTGAAGCTTATAACCTTGGTGAAGCATTCCAGAACACACACATTGTACATCATGGATATTCTTGGGTATTGTGGCCCACTTCATCTTGTCGATGCTGTTAAACATGCTTAAACTATATCCAAATACTTATTCTTATACCACCATACATGTCCCTCTGTTTGTTGGCCTTCAACCAAAAACAGATGACGTCATGATGGCTCCACTTCCCAATCTGCAATGAATGACCTGCAGGTTATGACTGATACAACTACCATCTGGTTATGACATTCACAGTTTGCCATGGAAAGATCCACCCAGCTATTGATAGGTAAACCATCTATTTCGATTAGGGCCATTTTCCATGGCTATGTTAAATAACCAGAGGGTAATTTTATATATATATATATCAAACTGATGACAAATACATCACAGTCATACAAGCCAATGAATAGCTATCAACTATCAACGGACTTCAGGCGGATGCTATGATAAACACATATGACATCCCCCTTAATCCCTTGTGGTGAAGTAATCATCTGGTGTGGGATATACCTTGATATCTATTTATCTCTGCATCTAGATATAAATGTGTATACCCTCTGGTAAACTAACATAGCTATTGAAAATCACTATCTTTAATAGGTAAATCAACTATAACTGGGCCATTTTCCATAGCTATGTCAAATTACCAGAGGGTATATATATTATATATATATATCAAATTTTCAGATGTATATTGTATCTGTTTCTACTGTAAATATCAACCTTGCAAGCTATTCACATCATCCCAGCTCTTCTCCACGAAACATTCGGCCGCACTTCCGCCGTGGGCATCGCTTCTAAGAGCCCCAGTGCCAGTGGCCACTGCACCCCGTCAGCGGCGCAACTGATGGCAGCGTTGAAACTGAAAACGTTGGGTTTCAGCGCGACCACCTGCGCACACGACGTAAACCAGCCTGGTGTGTGTTATCATGGTGACAGGTGGGAGCATCCTCAGAAACTCTGGTTCTCCCATGATTTTTCTTTGTGGTTTCCCATGAAATTTGAATACTTTTCATGGGTTTCCTATGTTTTTTTGGCTGAAACCAATCCAACGATGCCAAGATCTCGTTCTGAAACAGAGAAGAAACGCTGAAAATCTCATTGCTCAATGTTGCGCCTCCCCATACCTTCTGTGTTCTACCTCTTATGGCCAAGCTTGGATACCCTACACTTATTGTTTTCTTGATGTTTAGCTGCTTTGGTAAAATTTGGTATATATAATTTGGTATCTTTCGCCATGTATGGTACACTGAAGCTACAATACCATCCAAGGCCGACCCAGGGGGCAGGTTGATGGTTAGGTTGTCCTGCAAAATTGACAATGAAATGGTAGATCATGGTAGATCCATGTGCAAGAACCTCATTGCCGCTTCCAAATTTGACGCTCCCACCATGGCTTTACTAAGCTCAGCAACTTGCATGGCACCGAAGAAGCAAAGAGCCACTTGCCAATGTGCACCTCTTCCTCAGCAGGTGGGTCGTCCGACCAGCTCCAGCTGCCAGCCACGATGTGGATCGAAATCTCATGACGAAAACCCTAGGGTCAACATACCAAAAGATGTGGAAAACCCAGGGTTCCCCCAAGAAAATACTCTACAAATGATTGATTTTCCACATCTATGTTAGTTTACCATGCGTAACCAGTGCACATTCAAACATGACGAAATCATTGTGCTTCCAAACAGGTCTTGAATGTTGACCCCACATTGAATTGTCTGAAAAGTGAGTACCCCGAAAGCCACTGGTCAATCATCATCCTATCCAATTTCTGCAGGATATACACCGTTTTCAATCGAACCCACCATACAAACACTTTCTGGTTTCATGTCACCACCACCACACAAGGCAAGGTTCTGCATGAGCTGATCGCAGCCGTGTAACCTTGGTAGAGCCCAGTGGGAAGGTACTGGGTGTTCACACCCTTACCGTAGCCTAAACGTAGTATTTTTTACCGACTGCGAGCTTCAAACCCAACACATATAAGTTAGTGTATGACTCTCTATCTGTATATTTATATATTTATATATATAGGTATATATATCTATATCTATATATATATAATATGCATATTTAAAATACTATATTAGGTTATATTGTTTATATTATATTATTTTATCTTATTTTACTTTACTGCATGATATGGAGGAATTTAGGCCTGTCTTGAGACACGTGCGATATTTCGATCAAACAGCGCTACGCCAAAGGACTGAAAACGTTCGGGTGAACCAATAGGCCAGGCATAGCTTCCAGAAGCCTGGGAGGTGCCAACGGCTGGAAAATTCCGGTAGGTACCCTCTGGTAATTTAACATAACTATGGAAAATCACCATAGAAATAGAGAATGGTGATTTTCCATAGTTATGTAACAAATTACCAGAGGGTATATAAACCCTCATGGATTGATGTCGCCGGATCCCCAAAGAAAAAGAGCCCTCAATGGATTCCTCATTTCTGGTGGAATTCCCAGTGGAAAAATAACAAATCGCCTACTAAGCAAACTCGTGACAACTGTATTCTCAACCATCACTCATCAAGGATATCAAATCACCTTTCCGACATATCCGCAGATTGCTGTTGACACACGACCATATGAAGATCTCATAAAATGGTGCTACCCTCAAATCATCCGGTCATTGGATCATTTTAGTGTTGAAACAGCCATGGTTTTCCGTGGGGATCCTTTTTTCAGACACCACTTTAATTAAGACAACCCCATATTTAGATTCGTGAGAATATCCCACTGTTAATCCCATAGATATTTGCTTATTTAAGTGATCATCACAGCCATTCATAGTTTTTTTTTCTACGGAGACAGGACGGAACACGACAGGAAGTTTATTGTGAAAAATCCCCATGAACCAATCACTGGTGCTTAGTAGGATGAGAAATGATCTACCCTCTGGTAATGACTAACATAGCTATTGAAGCCATGGCCCATGTAGTTCGTTGATTTACCTATTATTTTGATGGTGATTTTCCAGTTCGCAAACTGTTAGTTTACCAGAGGGTATCTATAATAATAACCATTAACCATCATCCCATTCCCTCATTCCCTACTAAGCACCAGCAAGATCAAGGCAACCAATCACTAAAGTTTTGTTAGTAACATTATTAACAAACACTATGGTCAATGAGGACATGCCATTGTCGATTGGTTAGTAGTTGACGGTTAAATCCCCACCAACCAACCAACAACGGAACACATTATATATGGAAGATATGGAAAGTGTCGGTTTTACTGTCCCAAAACATGATTTTCCGTTAGCAAAGTAAGGGATTTAACATATATTTAGAATGGATTTAAGCATGAAACATCCATCCAAAACATGATTTTACCATGAAAACATAGGGGGGTTAGATGGATTTAACAATATTTAACCAATTTAAATGGGTTTAACCATGAAAAAATAGGGATTTAGATGGATTTAACCATGAAACATGGTGGTTAAATACCACGTTTCACTCTCCCCTGCGCCACGGCACTGGCAAATGTCTTGCCACACCGAGCTCCGGCCCAAAGAGGAGATGTTCACGCTGCAGCTGCCTCGCTGTCGTCGTTGTTGTTCAATGGGGATTTCATCCACAAAACTGGGTCTGTAACTAACATCAACCCTCTGGTGATGACTAACATAGCTGCCATAGCTATTGAAAATGACCATTTATAGTGGATTTTCCCATTAATCATGGTGATTTTCCATAGCTATGTTAGTTTACCAGAGGGAAACTGATTTAATCCTATAAAGTAGGGTTAACATGGGCGAAGTTTGGGGCTCAACCCCCAACCATGAGGATGTCATCAACAAAAACTATAGATTTAACCAGCAGAAACTGCGAATCTAAGCGGCAACCTAGAAGAACTATATGGACTTCATCGATTCTCTCCTTGTTTGCTGAAAGAGGTGGACATAGCTGGCAAGTCTTGATAAACTGATTTTGGATAATGAACATGCAATATTGGAGGAACATAAGGACACGTATAATATTGGGATTGAGCCAGCAAAAAAACGTGGATCAAACATGTGGATAATACTGAATTACTTGGATTTAAGCATTGAACATGTGGATGTCACTTCAGAATGGTGGTAAAAAATGGCCCATGCTCCACATGGAGCTAGGGATATCATCCACCTTTCAACCAGCAAAAGCTATCAACAAATGAGACATGTACCATCTGGTTATGACTAACATAGCCATGGAAAATCACCATTTTTAATAGGTACACCATCTATCTCTATGGGCCATTTTCCATGGCTATGTTAAATAGCCAAAGGGTAAAGTAAAAACAGTGAGACCTAGACCAAATTTATCCAATGAGATCATCAAATATCATGTGCATGTTATTAATAGGCTTGTATTACACACACAAGAAACAAAACACTGGGAAATGACCACTTCCCGCGAGCATTGCTCATCTACTGGCGAGGTGCGAGAATCCACCTTTCCATCCTCAGCTTTCCAGGTTGGAGTGGAGACAAGAATTCACCTAGATCGTGAAGCTTCCCAACAAATAGTCTTCAACATCCATCAGAAGACTGCTGAAAGATTATTCGTTTTTTTTCAACACATGCAAATCAATTTATGTCAACTGACATCCTAAGAACATGGTCAATGTTGGAGTAAATCATTTTTATTGCACAACTTATAAACCATGAAGCTAGGGCCATGTTGCCTCACATGTTTTGGCAGGATTATCGGCACACCTGGTGAGCACACCTAGGATCTTGCACGTGCCCAGGAAACCCTCTCGTAAACGAACTGCAATGGAAACCATGTCCCATTTAGTTCGCTGATCTAGCCATATATATATATACGGTAACTAAATATACGAACTGGTATTTCATACTACCTCCGGGCCTCGCGGTCTGGCCCGCCCTCCACATATTTAAATGTCGTTACCGTATATATATATATATTGCTGTAAGATTGTGATTTTCCACAGCTATGTTGGTTTACCAAAAAGTAAAAAGCAAACCTGGTTTTTCCTTCAAGCACATGCCAACATTCTCACTAGCTGTGGCTGTCGAAGTGACTGTGACTGGCACATCCATTCTAGATATTCCACTGGATGCATCCCATATGTTGACCGATTTGTATCCAGTGGCCACAATCAACAATCACATAAATATGCATATATACATCATATATATATATATATTGTCTTTTTTGAAAAAAAATAAGTATATATATAAATGAAAAATAAATAAATAGAAACATATATACAAATAAATACATAAATAAATCATATATATATATATATCCGTCCGGGGGGATTAGTGGACGTTAGTTCAAGGGTGAAAGTGCGTTTCGTGCTGGCAGGGTCTTGCAAAATGACGTCGAACCCCTCTTCAAAAATCCATTGATTTATGATGCTTTCTTTTCAAAAGTCGTGGTTTTTATCACGTTTTTATGTTTCTTCGTTTTTCTTGTTTTCTGTTGCTCCATTTTTTTGGCGAAGGCCTTTTCATCCGAATGCGTCAGCATAAAGTCTTTTGCCAGTTGCTTGAAACAAGTCTTGCCTTTGTACAAATCGCCATTGCCATTGCCTCACGTATAGTAACAATTGTGGATTATTCTTGTGTCCTTTGATTGTAGAGGATAAAGTGCAAGGAAATTGGTCCTTGACAAGACGTAACCCATATCTGTTGACGTAACATGTAACATCTTTCTATGAGAACGCAAAGTCCATAGCGTATCATGTAGTATCTTTCTATGTCAACACATATTCCATAACATAACGCGTCACATGTGCGTAGTTCAACACAAATCACATGACGTAACATGTCATATGCGTGTAGTTCGACACAAATTCCATCACGTACCATGTCACATCTTTCTGTCAACAGACAATTCCAGAAAATAACATGTCACATGTGTGTAGTTCAACACAAATCCTATGACCTAACATGTCACATGTGTGTAGTTCAACACAAATCCCATGACCTAACATGTCACATGTGTGTAGTTCAACACAAATTCCATGACGTAACATGTTTCATGTATATATGTCAATGCTTTCCAAAATGCATCCGTATCTGTTTAATGTATACTTGAACGTCATTGCGCCCCCCCTCTCACTCCCTCCCCAAAATCCCACGTCAAAAATGCGTGAAAAATGGGTCCGGTAAATTCCCCGCTAGCAAATATATGTATATATATTTATATATATATATATATTTAATGTATGGTATGGTATGGTATGGTATGTATGTAATTACGATTAATTAGTAGTATTACAGATATAATTAAATAGTATTATACATTATTATAGTGTACATAATGATAAATATGCCGGAATTATGCTGGTATGTATGTTACAAATACTATCCGCCCAGCATCGCGGCCAAGCCACTCGGCTTGACCCCTCCACAAGGTGCTTTGAACCTGCCTCGCGCGCGGGAACAATGATGGGGGCGAGGGCGGCCAAAAAAGGCCCCGAATGGATCCTTGATACAATTTGTTCTTTCTCCAACTGCTTGGGGTCTACGGGGGTGTAATTTGATACTACTTAGCCACTGGGTTGGCTCAACTACAAATGGTTTCTGAGGCCTGAAGCTTTCACACTAGCTCGTGCTAGAGCTTGCTAGTGCATTGACCTCAGCATACCTCAAACATGATTTATTGCCACTGGTTTTTGAGTGCGCCACAGAGAATAGCTCTTAAGTTTTGATAACATATATCGGGATCCAGCAACTTCCAGCAAAAGCTAGGTGTCATGATGTGTCATGTTCGGCCTTTGCGGTGAAAGAAGTTGTTCTGTGGCATGTCAGTGGGCTTTTCGTGACCCTGTAAAACCACCATGTATATATATATATATGAGAAAATAGCGTACCCTATTCCATCCACTCATTAATCATCAAGTTCAGAATTAAAATAGATGTTCGCAAAAGGCATGTTTTGAACATGTTTCGGGTATATACATACAAAATTTTCAGACACAGCACATCTGGTAAAAAGGTGCTCCGCAAGTTATCAATTGGTTTTTATTGTTTATCAACCCATTCATCAGTAGATATGGGAGTTACTTACAGAACTTACGTATCTTGGGGTCCCCACAGTAGCTACAGTCAGCAAACAACGTGGTAGCACTGTAGGACTGTTGTTGTTCATCCCATCCCAAGCTGGTCGATGAATTTTCAGGTCTGGGGCCGCAAACGCAACTGGAAGATATCAATAGGCATATTACCTGTACATCCAAATCCCCCCCTCACCCCAATATGAAAAATCCGGAATACCATTTTGGTGTCACAATGGTTTTCCGATACATCTCAAGGGCAAACTTAAATTGTCACAGCCATCATCCCATCAGCCCATGCTCTACCCATGGCATAAATATGGAGGTTTCCAACCCATGGAGGTACCCCAAATCATCCAAATTTTACAGTCCATTTTTGTATTAAAGCAACCATGGTTTTGGTGACCCCCGCAAATATCCTTCCTATCCATCATGACACATCATGGCACTTGAACCCACCCCGGTCCTTAACATGTCGCAGACTCGCGAAAGTTCCATGCCACTTCCGTGCCCTCCGCCAAGCCAAAAAGCGCAAAGTCATCCATGTCGCGCCGCTGTGTCAAACGCAGCATGGGTGGACGGACTGCCTTTTTCCATTGTTAGGTGTCTGAAAATGGACTTTATAGCCCAATACATTCAGATACATTCAGTTTTCAATGGAAAAAGGATACTTTTCCCATGGGATTTTGGGGCGCCTGATTTTCTGAGATACTGAATTTTCCAGGTGACCACTGAGGTGCTACCTGATGGGACGATAGTAATTCTGTTCACAGGCCCATGCCGATCATGATGGGAACATTTTGCGTTCATGCTGAGAACAAAATAATAGTTCATAAGAATAATAGAGTAAACAACCATAAACTAAAACGAACCCGTAGCTGCTTTCGGAGCGGCAGTCTTGTCCTCAAATTGGCGTTGCATGTGGCAAAATCATTCATAAAATGAACTCACCACAAGCAGCTTGGAGTGTGAGCTTCTAGGACAACGCATCATTAAAACCATTTGAACCAGTCCTTAGGCTACAGACCTTCCAAATTTTGGATACTGCATTACTACTTTCCGTATCCTGTCATTAAGGTTATTCTCCTGACTGAACCTGGCTCTCAACTGGCCCATTGCAGCCTTCATATTTGAAAAATAGCACGACTACACGCGCGGTTTTCCACCCGCTAGCAAAAACAAGCTTTGTCCCTCGCAGAGCAGTTCATGGGTCAAGTCAAATCAAAAGTTGCTGGCTGAAACCATTATGCAGTTTCAATGAGCACACAGCCTTTCTCCACTGGTCGCAGAACCAGCCCGTTGGGAGGCCGGGTCTGCTGGATTTTCCTCTGGCAAATCATCCCATCCCCCTGATTATAAACAAATTCAATACTAAAACCAAATGAACAAGTTCAATACTAAAACCATGGTCTCGATTGGGCGGCTAGGAGATGAGAATGTCCAAAGACAACTAAGACACTTGCCGCTGATCAGCTCAGAGTGAAAAGCGCAGCAGTGCACAGCATCTATGTTTAAAACGGTTTAAGATGTTTCCTCGCTGACATGCATGGATGGTGGTCTTGTCAACTCAGCCATCACTGCATGCCACAAAGGAGAACTGCAGGTCCAGATGGTCGAAGCTATCACGAACCATATCTAGAACGTCCAAAAGTTCTCAAGTATTGACCTGCCTTCCACTGTCCGCTCTTCTCCTTGGTTAGCCGGGTGGCCATGAAAAACAGAGCTAGATGCGAAGTGGATGTTGAGGGGATGAACGTGTTGCTGGTCAAACATCAGGCCCAAAGGACCAGAAATCTGGCCAAATTACTTTAATTCTTACCTCGTCTCCCTCGTGTCTTAATTTGTTCCCCATGATTACTGTCCTCGTTCGTTAATTTGCAGGTGCAAATTAAGGCTTTACCTCGTTAATTCGAAGGAAGAAAGTAGCTTGTGGGCCTTCTTTCCAGGGTCCAACCCCAAGGAAAAAAACATTTCAGCTTCCGAAAAGTTTTTTTCCACGATCCACGGTCTCTTGCAGTGATTTTTAAATCTGAATCTGATCGGTCTTTGCGCTTCTTGCGCTTGGGTGGTGACATCTCTGACATTATCGCAGAGATGCAATGCTCTTCTGGAGCAACTCTGAATCCTACTGCTTCTGCAGCCGTCAACCCACGAAGCGGGCCTCTCGCGATAGAAAATAAAACTTTTTGGGGCCTGAAAAGTTTTTTTTCCTTCCTTGCCTGCTGACCGGCCTCTGGCGATAGAAAATAAAACTTTTTGGGGCCTGAAAAGTTTTTTTTCCTTCCTTGCCTCCTGACCGACCTCTGGCGATAGAAAATAAAACTTTTTGGGGCCTGAAAAGTTTTTTTTCCTTCCTTGCCTGCTGACCGGCCTCTGGCGATAGAAAATAAAACTTTTTGGGGCCTGAAAAGTTGTTTTTCCTTCCTTGCCTGCTGACCGGCCTCTGGCGATAGAAAATAAAACTTTTTGGGGCCTGAAAAGTTTTTTTTCCTTCCTTGCCTGCTGACCGGCCTCTGGCGATAGAAAATAAAACTTTTTGGGGCCTGAAAAGTTTTTTTTCCTTCCTTGCCTGCTGACCGGCCTCTGGCGATAGAAAATAAAACTTTTTGGGGCCTGAAAAGTTTTTTTCCTTCCTTGCCTGCTGACCGGCCTCTAGCGATAGAAAATAAAACTTTTTGGGGCCTGAAAAGTTGTTTTTTCCTTCCTTGCCTGCTGACCGGCCTCTGGCGATAGAAAATAAAACTTTTTGGGGCCTGAAAAGTTGTTTTTCCTTCCTTGCCTGCTGACCGGCCTCTGGCGATAGAAAATAAAACTTTTTGGGGCCTGAAAAGTTTTTTTTCCTTCCTTGCCTGCTGACCGGCCTCTGGCGATAGAAAATAAAACTTTTTGGGGCCTGAAAAGTTTTTTTTCCTTCCTTGCCTGCTGACCGGCCTCTGGCGATAGAAAATAAAACTTTTTGGGGCCTGAAAAGTTTTTTTTCCTTCCTTGCCTGCTGACCGGCCTCTGGCGATAGAAAATAAAACTTTTTGGGGCCTGAAAAGTTTTTTTCCTTCCTTGCCTGCTGACCGGCCTCTGGCGATAGAAAATAAAACTTTTTGGGGCCTGAAAAGTTGTTTTTCCTTCCTTGCCTGCTGACCGGCCTCTGGCGATAGAAAATAAAACTTTTTGGGGCCTGAAAAGTTTTTTTTCCTTCCTTGCCTGCTGACCGGCCTCTGGCGATAGAAAATAAAACTTTTTGGGGCCTGAAAAGTTTTTTTTCCTTCCTTGCCTGCTGACCGGCCTCTGGCGATAGAAAATAAAACTTTTTGGGGCCTGAAAAGTTTTTTTCCTTCCTTGCCTGCTGACCGGCCTCTGGCGATAGAAAATAAAACTTTTTGGGGCCTGAAAAGTTTTTTTTCCTTCCTTGCCTGCTGACCGGCCTCTGGCGATAGAAAATAAAACTTTTTGGGGCCTGAAAAGTTTTTTTTCCTTCCTTGCCTGCTGACCGGCCTCTGGCGATAGAAAATAAAACTTTTTGGGGCCTGAAAAGTGTTTTTTCCTTCCTTGCCTGCTGACCGGCCTCTGGCCCCCAAAAAAGTTTTTCTAGCCAAGCCCAAGCATGCAACAGAACCAATGCAAGGCTACCTCGTCGAGGTCGGCTAATTCTGATGAGCAAATTAAGGGCTGACCTCGCTAATTCCTGCAACCTGCCTCGTTGCCTCGGCTGTCCTCGCTATAATTTGTGCAGAGAAATGGTGGTTATTTATCGACGAAACACCTCCGTTCTGGGTACCTCATTTTTGACCTATGTCAGTTGGACTTGTGCAGGTCGCTGCCACAAATCTGCGAACTCCCATCTTGAGCTCACGGGTCAGGCAGCAGGGTTTGGCCATCTGGAGGGCAACAAAACATATCAAAGCCATCCAACAAACTGCCTCAGTCAAACACGGAAAAACTCTCCGAACTTGAAGAAACAATGTTAAACACTCTAAGGACAATACCAATCGACTTACTGGTGCTTAGTAGGGAATTTTCGGGAATGATCCACAAGAATTATTAATAATCCCAGCAACCCCCAGCAACCCATCCATTCCCTACGTAAAACGAAGCAGTAAGTCGATTCAAGAGATCCCCAGATTTCATCACCCACCGCTGTACATGACCCAAAGGAGCTCGCAGTCGACCGAGTCTCACAGGAAGAGATGACGTCGCAGAGACTGACGAGAGAACATAACTGAGGACTTTCGTCCTGGCACCCCGAAAGGTCCCAGCCACATCCCTTTTTTAAAAACGAAAAAAGGGCCTAAAAACGAAAAATTGGGACAGTAGATTTACGAAAAAAACAAACCAATTCCCGTTTATACAATCAAGAACTTGTAAGGATTCAACCAGCCAGAATCAATGTCGAACCCCAAAAAAACATGGTGATTGATTGTGGAAAGCTGGTGATGTGGCAAACCTGGCTGGAAGGCTGAATCCAGTGCTGAGATTGAGGCTACCGAAACAGTGCACAGGTTGCATGGATTCATGTTCACCTCATTTAGCTGTATGGTCGCTGATTCGGTGATGGTTTTAGTTCTGAAAATCCCATTGATTGCTACACGCCGGGTCCCAAACAGGACAGATAAGTGGTTCCCTACCGATGCTGATTTACTCTTCTACTCAGTGCTGCTTTCAACCCTACTCAAACATATTCGTCTCTTGAAAGTATCATCACCAAATGTAGGGAAAAAACACAAAGACATAGTTTTGAACGCACCGACAGATGAGTTCCCACCAAAATACTTTACATCTTAGTACTTTCTATCATCATAGGGGTATTCTGCAATAGTACAGTGGTCTTCAACCATTTTGACGGTGACTCATATTCAATAAATACATATATACATGTATATATATATATGCAATGTGGGGCCCCCTAGATAGCTAAGTTGGTTCATAATTTCAAGAACTATGGTTTATGATACCTATAATGGTGTTTGTCAACCAACTTAGCTATCCAGGGGGCCCCACATTGTATACACGTACGCGTATATATGTATAGTATATGTATGTATATATAAATATATATGTATGTATGTATATATATATACATATATATATGTATGTATGTATATATATATATATACACATTTTTGTATGTATATATATATATATGTCATATATATATAATAAATGGGGTCAATCTTTTGGGAACCCAATTTGCCAACAAAACATCATCAACCAGGTATCGAAGACACTCAGTGCGCGTTGCCACTGCGTTGCCTTCGCGCAGGAGGTGATCACGACCTCACATCGCAGTTTTGGCTCGGGAAACATCTGCTGAAATGGTGCCATGGTGTCATTCATGCCATGTCATGGTGATTCAATCGGGATTTACCAACAAAAATGGGGATATGCATGGAATGAACCTCTGGTAATTTAAAGGTTGCTATGGAAAATGGTCCATTTTCTGCGATTGTTTAGCTAGTAAAATAGAAATTGTCCATAGCAAACTGTTAAATTCTGGTCTTCAAAGATAGAAACAACTCCTTGATTTATCGGAGAGCCCCATCAACCCCGGATGAATTGAAATGCCCAGGCCAGTCTATCACAATGAATGGTTTTACTGTACTCCAGCTACACTCTTGTCCGGGTTCCCTCGTTCAGGAGCAAATTGGCTTTCGGTCGGACGGAAATGTTGAGGTTGTTATACAAGGGGTACTAACTTTGTGGAACATACCAACAACTGCAGGCGAACGAATGCTAGGCTAATCCTCCCACTTGGTCAGCGGTTCTACAGTAAACAATGTTCAAAAAATCACGTAGCTGAAGAAGGATTATGACTATGACTATGAATATGTTCTGCTTATCATTTGAGACCATAAGACTTAAAACAGGTCATGAACCTACATTATTCACGCCCATCCTGGAGCAATCTAAAAACAGAAACGAACTATCTTCAGGGCAGGAAAGTCATCCTCAAAAATATGTTTTGACATATTCAATGTACTCCAGGATGGTTTTCTGGTTGGCTGAATTGTCCACCGAAGAATATCCTAGAAGCAAGTTGATTTGCAGTCATCACCCGGCCACAGGGCATGGAAATATTTTTCGAGGTTGTGCATCAGAAAGTACCCCCATCTGTTGTTTGCTTTTGGCTGCTCCCCAGAAAAATGTCAGCCAAGGGTGGCAGGCCGCTGTATGGGCAATGATTGGGGTGTTATTTGCTGTGGTGCTGCCATGGATTGGTGGGATAAATGATGAACTGCCACCTGTGCCAGGATTCAATTTAAAAAACATGTCATGAATTCCAATGATTTTGGTTTGGCATATTGGCTGCCCTTGAGAGGATTGCTGGGGACACGGAAGGTAGCGACAGACGCTTTGATTCGTTCATTTCGGGGTATGTCCGTGAAGCAAATGGCCGCAACCCAAAGCGGCGGCTGGATAGCGGGAGCGAACCTGTAATTTCAAAATCGGCCTACATTTTTTGGAGGACATGTTTGGTTTCTTTTGATTTCGCATAAATTGTTTGTGTGTTTGTTTGTGCAAGAATTGTCAAACATATTTCCCTGCAACGTGCTGCGCCCGGGCAGCATGACAGAACGAATGGAAAATCGTTCAGTGACTTGTGCATGAACTCTTTCATGTCGTTTCATGGGCATTTCATTCGCTGGTGCACCTCACAACTTCAACACTTCATTGCTTCTGCATCTCAAAATCTTTCTTATAGACCACCGATTTCAAATAGCTGTTGTGTTTTCGAAACTTCCGCCCCGGCGGGTGCCGGGCACTATTTGGTACAAGTGATGTTGCAATAATGGTTACGGCCGTTGAGGCAATGTTCCGAGACAAAAAAGGGGCCAGTACTGGGGCGATCCATGGATCAAAGCAACCTGAAGCAATACCTTTTTTTGCCTATTGCATTAAAACATTTCAAACGATAAGTCCCACGTACACAACAAAAAACAAAAGATGTATCTCTGACAAGAAATGATCCATTCCTCGGCGAGCACATTGCGCTGTAATGATACCAGGGAACAATACAGCTACTACAGCTACTACAGCTACTACAGCTACTACAGTTACTTCTACTTCTACTACGACTACAACTATAACTACTTCTTCTACTTCTACTTCTACTACGGCTACAACTATAGCTATTGTTACTATTGAAACTCTTGTTACTATTGTAACTATTGCAACTGTTGTAACTGTGGTAACTACTGTTACTATCGTAACTCTTGTAGAGATCTTGTCCAGGAGGTCTTGCCAAGAGACCTTTACTCTTGTCTAGAGGTCTTGCCAAGAGACCCCTTAAAGCGATCTGTGCAAAGAGAGAGCTCTTATAGAGCTCTTGTACGCAGATCTTGCCAGGAGACCTATCATGGAGATATTGTACAGAGACCTGCTGAAGAGAGCAGAGGTCTTCCTCGGAGATCATTTTCAGATAGCTTGGCCAGAGATCTTACTTTGAGATCCCTCACAAAGATCTTCTGTGGAGATCTCCTATAGACACCTTGTACAGATGATAGCCCTACACAGGAATCTTGCACAGCAGCTTCTACAGAGAACCTTTCAAGGACATCTTGCGCACTATCTTCTACAGAGATCCTCACAAAGGGAACTTGCAGAATCTGACCTGGTATCTCTTCTTTTCACTACTAGGGTCGCTCTGGTCCTGCTAGCTTGCAGCCACTGATGATTTTAGGTCCTTTCCACTTTTCCCTTTAGAATCCTAACTGCGCACTGTTTGGGGTCTCTTGCCGGGATAAAATATATATGTTTGCTTCTGTTTGAATCGGAGGGTGTGTAAATGAAAAATGTGATTCGTTTTTTCCAATTTTGCTTCCATTCGAACCAACGGTGGTGTAGAAAAAATGGATCTAGGTGGGTTTTTCCCATTTCAGAGTGGTTGAAGATTCATTCATACTTGTCCCCCTGTCTTTTCTCCAACAAGAGAGTTGGTGTTCAAAAAGAAGAACTATACATACTAGTTGCTTCTATTTGAAACAGTGGGTGCGTAAAATCAGAATCTAGGCCGGTTTTTCATCTTTTTGAATAGTTGAAGATCTACATACATACATACATACATACATACATACATACATACATTACATTACATACATTACATACATTACATACATTACATACATTCATACATTCATACATTCATTCATACATACATACATACATACATACATTACATACATACATACATTACATACATACATACATTACATACATACATTACATACATACATTACATACATACATTACATACATACATTACATACATACATTACATACATACATTACATACATACATTACATACATACATTACATACATACATTACATACATACATTACATACATACATTACATACATACATTACATACATACATTACATACATACATTACATACATACATTTCATACATACATTACATACATACATTACATACATACATTACATACATACATTACATACATACATTACATACATACATTACATACATACATTACATACATACATTACATACATACATTACATACATACATTACATACATACATACA